TGAACCGTAAAAGTCTGTTTTTTATTGCTAAACCACAGAGGAGTTCTCAGTCTATAAGCCATGCTGATATTCCAGACTCAGAAATTAAGTTATGCTTAGTTTCTCCCTCTGGTGTATTGTTTGTGCCCAGAGTCTTGTCCTAAGCCTACCCCCTGTTGTCTTGCTTTGACATTCACTTTAAACACATGCTTAAGTAAGTCTTACTTAATACTTTTTATTGGTGTTGCTGCCTATTTTGGTTAAACTGATTTTTTTTAAGTAAAAAATGCTTTGTAATTTCCTTGAGTTATTTAAATTCATGAATCTGGAAGGAAGGCGTAGATTCTTCCTTTCTTCCTTTGCTTTTGATGAGTATTGGCCTTATGCTTTCCGTTAATGACTCTCTTGACATAGGCCAGTAGTTCTCCATCTTGGCTGCACAATAGAATTATCTGAAACCTCTGGTCATTCACATTTAATTGGTCTGTCTGAGCTTTAGAAAGTTCCCTGGGGTGGGATGGGGGTGTTGTGTGTGGCTCAGGGGTAGAGCTCTGGGTTCAATCCCCAGCACCAAAACAGCAAAGAAACCTGCCTAGATGATGCTAATGTACAGCCAGGGTTGGAAGTCATAATCTTGGCGAGATAAACTTAAGCTAGTATTTGTATTTTCTCTTAGTTTCATTCATTTACATTCTCTCACACCCTCCCTCCCTCCCCAAGCAGAGTGAAGGTAGATTTATTAAAGGAAGTGGGGGGAGACTCCTAATATCCTAGGTATGGCTCTCAATGTAAAGCTGACAGAGGGCCAGGGCTCCTGCTCAGGTTCATCTGTTTCTTCTTAGAGTGGTTCTGGAGGAAAATGTTCTAACTCATCCAGTTTCCCCTCTGTGCCAAATACAAACTGTGCATAAGTAAATGAAACCAGTTTTCAAGTCCTGGTTCAGGTCTGGTCTCTAGAATCCTTTTTACCTTGCATATGTGATTTGAGTGGAAATTTATCATTTCTAATAAAAAAAAATGGAAGACTTGAGTGTACTGGGGGGGGGGGGGGGGC